TGGCATTGCCGTCTGACTGAGCCTGTAGAGAAAATAGTTCTATTTTTTTCTGTTTTTTTAAAGCTGCCCCAGGCAATCCCCCCTTTCTGAGATTCCACATTTCAAAGCACAGGAAATAGTATAATCATTTTCTTTCACTTTAATGGGTTTTCATTTGATGAGTCGTGATGTTCGTGTGGGACAAAAGAGAAGATGGTGTAATGGTCTATGGAATTGTATAGTGCTGAAAGCTTCAACTTAGTTTCATTGGCTATGCCTTTGTATTATTATTTATTTCATGTTTTTATATTGAGGTAACTTGTCTGTCAGTCTCTTCAGTTTGTCTTTTTGCTTATTCCCTCCAGATTTTTCAAGTTCTGCTACTGATTGACAATGAACCTGTTCCTTTTATCAACAGAGTCTGATAATATGAAGCAATGCTTGATGTTCCTTGGTGTCCCTTACAATTGTTTCATCATCTGTTTTGCTTCTCATTCTTCCCATATAAACTTTCCTTTAGCGTCAGAAATTCTACTTAAATATTCTAGTTTTTATTAAATGCCTGCTGCTTTTCACTCAGTGTTTTTTGGGTGCCTAGAATTATCTGAATACAGAAAAGGAAACAGACAGCTACAACTTAGGATGATAAGTAAACGATGTGTTTTACATTTTAATCTACTTGTTTAACATTAATCTGACATCAACTGTTAAAATAAAAATGTCAAAACCTGATTTTTGTTTCTTGCCATCCCAAGCAGGATCCATTCTATTTTATTTTTTAATAAAGACCAGCCAGAAACCATTAGGTCAATGACAAGTTTCAAATGAAAATGCAATTAAAATTGTTAGAACTGTAAATTTACTGTCATTTTTACTGTTTTTCAAGGCTGCACTTTTAAAAGATGAAATTGTCCAGTTAGCTGTTTCCAAACTAAATTTATTTTTGTTTTTACACTTGTGAAAACAAAATGACAAATAAAATCTGTCTATATTTACTTTATTGTCCCACAATGAGGAAATTCCCTCTCTGCATTTAACCCATCCCATTGGGGAGCAGTAGGGTGCCACTGTGTGACGCCCATGTAGCAGTGTGGGGTTAAGGGTCTTGCTCAGTAACCCAGAGTGGCAGACTTCGGGAGTGAGAGGGACTTGAACCCGGGACCCTCCGGGACTGAAGCTCAATGCTCTAACCCCTAGGCGACCGTTCTCTCAAGTTATAGAAAATAGATAAACTTAGAAATACAAGCTTGTCTAACTTGGCAAACCAGACTAATAATGTGTACCAGGTTTAGTTCTACATAATATTTATCTGGGACTGCTCCAATCTAATGCATTTGGAGGAAGCTGAGACATTCAGCAGAACTATCCCAGTGGAATGACACCTATTGGCCTCACTAATTTGGTTTTAGCAAAACAGGTACAAACTAAATATCAGCAGAAGCCTTGAGAAGTATGGCAATTAAAGCTTTTACACTCTTGTCGATGTAGTTTTGCTTGAACATTTACATGCCTCGTTTTAAACAAAAAAATCTAAATCAAATCAATTATCAAATAAAAATTAAATAAAACATATTTTTATTTATTATTTTATTTATTATTACTTTTTTAGGCTTTGTGTCATTTGAATTACTAGAGTGAATTTATCATTTTCTCTAATGGGAGGGTGTGTGAACTTTCAAGCACAACTATAGCCACCCTTATTAATCTGCCTAAGAATATCTTCTTTAATTCTAAATGACTGCGTCTTCCACCAGATCCTGAGCACCAAAGACTGTTTCTCATGTTAATAAAACTTCCAAACTGCTCGTCATCTTGTGTATGATTTCTTTCAGGTTGAAATTAATTTAATAAAGATCTAGTCCACTGTTCCAAAGCTGAACAAAAGCAATGCTGCTCTTCCTAAATATGAGACTTGATAGTCAGTTGGGCTTGCCTTTCCAACAGAAAGTTTTCCTTTGGATCCAATATATCCCACTCTAAGCTCTCCTAAACTAAAACCGGGACTACCCCATTGTGGCACAATCAACCAGAAACCATTGACCTAATCTGGCTGATTTCTTTTCGTCCTTGTGTCATTGAAGGGGTGTGACATTATTAAACCATAATGATATGAGGCAAAGTAAACTTTCTGCAATTTTGATTATTTAACCAGTCACTTAAAAATGACAACCAGTTAGGTACGTTTTGGTATTTTATTAGTGAATCTTTATTTGAAATTAGTTCTGATAATGAACTAGTAGCTTACATATTCCTTATACAAGCTGCTACAGCTTAAAGGTAAACACAGTTTTAAACTGGAAGAGTTTGTCTATACTGAACACATTCGCTGTGCTTGTTGCTTCGGGTGCTTCATGTAGCTCACATCTGAAATCCAAAGACTCTTTCTGAAGCTTTTTAATTATTACTATAGGTTTGTCCAAACACTGTATCTGAAACATATTTTAGAAAATAACAGGGTCAGATAATATTACTCCTATTTTTTCATCTTGTTTGGGTATATAAACTGGATTAAACATATTTTTATATTCTTTGATAAAACCTTTGCCCTGCGATGGACTGGCGACCTGTCCAGGGTGTACCCCGGCTCCGTAGACAGACGGAGATAGGCGCCAGCACCCCTCGTGACCCCGCTTAGGATAAGCATGACAGAAAATGAATAGATGGATGGATAAAACCCTTGATAGATGGTTTCCAGAACAGAGCTACCTCCCTATAGGGTTGTCATATGACTTTTGAATTTCCAACAAAAGGACAGGACAGGATAAAAAGAGAGATAAATTAGTGAAAGTTATACCACATGTCATAGACAAAACATTTCTTTAGTTTTGAATATCTTCTCTGATCTCTGACCAGTGTGACAAATTTAAAGTCTCAAACAGCTTAAACACGCAACTGTTTTTCCTTCTTTGTTGGAAAACAATGAGCACTGTCAAATATTTTCTCAGTGGTGGAGCTCTGATAAATATTATGCTGCAAGGGGCTCTTCAGTGATGAAGGCTCAACAATGAAATTATGTTTTCCATTAATGGTAGTAAATGAAAGCACCTTTCTAAACAAGAAGTCAGATTTCCCATAACTGGGCTGCACATTATTATACAGAAATTTGACATTTTGGCCTTGCTTATTTATTAGTGTAAAGGAGAGAGATGCTGTCTGAAATATAGAAAGTCCTTATGGGTATAATTAGTAGCCAACTATTATATATGTAAAAAAAAATCTACCCTTAAATAAGCAAATGCTAACTGGACATATACAGTTACAACTATGTTTTTTTGTGTCATAAATGTTTCTTTAATTAAAAAGTTTATCATTTCAACAGTCACAATTTAATCTATGATGCATTTATCCATCAATGAACAATAAAAATGTTTACATTTTCTAAAACATTCAGACCATATATTCTTTTTTATGTCTGGAGGAAAAACTCCAACTTGAAAGGTGAAATTAAAGTTATCAGAACTTTTATAACTATGGGAAGATAATAATCGATAGCAACTTCATGACACTAAAACCATTAAAACTGCAGCAGAACGTGAGATATTCCCCTGAACATATAAGTGAACCATGACCATGGTATTGTGGCAGCTGGGATTGCCACAAATGCACTGGGGTGTAATGTTTGCAGCTTGGCGACAACTGAATAGATGATATCACATTCAGTGTTGCCAGGTAACACAGGTAATCCCACTTGGTAGAGAGCATGGATGGAAATCAACAGCCATTGTCTGGAGTGTACAGATATGTCCTTAATATATAGATGCAACAAACAACCTACACATTTCTCCTCTTCTGTGATATTTTCCTATATGAAAATGATCAAATCAGCAGATCAGGCAACATAAATATAGTTAATACAAGGATTATACCCTATATAAGTGATGAGTGTTGGAATACTGGTCAATGATATTTGATTGTTTTGAGCCAGTTGACATGATGACATGCACTGGCTGCTAGCACTAGATACAATTCAACCAAATGGAGCTTATACATGACATATCTTACCCTGTCAGGGAATTATGCAGTATGTTAATATGACATTCACCAAGACACAAATAATTTATTTTATTTACCACACAGCTCCTAAAAGTGCATAATGGGAGAAAGAAAAAGTAAATAAATAAATGAAGGGCTATAGAAATGGTGTAATGTGGATAAAGTAGATTGCTGAGAACCTTGATGGGATCAAATGTTACAAAGTGCCTTTTTGTGACTGTTGTTTCACATCTACACATCACATGTGCCATTAATCTCTGTCAGCATAAAGAGGATGAGGATGCCATGAAAAAAAGGCTAAAGTGACACACTGCCTTCCATGAACAAAGATATGATTGTTATTGAGACATAAAGACAGGAAAAAACCACTTAACTGGCAACAGCAGAGTATGTGTAACATAATGTCCTTATCACTGTGAAACATGAGCACACAGTAATAGAAACATAGACTAATGATACGGGGATAATTTAAACCCATAGGGCCTAGGAGGGGTGTTTATGGAAATAAGGGCATCTACATAACACCTGAGAGAAATCATTATCTTCTCATAGAGGACAGCTCCTACTTGCCATTTGAAGACCAAGTCAACCATAACAACCATTTTAAGATCAGAAGAAATAACTTATTTTTACTTTTTGCATAACAATATGATGTATGGTTAGTGAAACATTATATTTTTGTTCAAGTTCTATCCCATCAATTAAATACTACCACAAAAAAATGAAAACAATTCATATTTAGGCTTTCTATTATAGTATTTTCTATAATCGAAACAACCCTTGAGTCAATATTTAATTCAATCTTTAAAAACTTGAGTTTTAGAGAATCTACAATGTTTTGACATTCCAAGTATGACCGTTTCACTATTTTAAAATGGATTCCAGCAATACTTTTTTTAATGTTTGGAAGCGATAAAAACCCTTGTTATAATGGAGCTCTATAATAACTAGATCCCTTAATGTAACTCTATAAATTAATCCCTGCCACAGCACTCAAATCGCACAATAAAATGATTTAGAGAACTTACTTGAGTACATGTGTTGAACCGTTGATCTGTGTGGCTGTGCAAGTAGTGGCAGATGTCATAATGGACGGCCTGCGATACCTCTTCCTCCCACAACATAAGATGATGAGGAAGGCACGGCGGAAGGATTTGTTGAGGAAGGCGTAGAGAATGGGGTTCAGCATGGAGTTTATGTAACCCAGCCACAGGCAGGCGGTCCACAGCTGTTCAGGAACTGTATAGCCTATAAATGGATCCACCACATTGGTGACAAAAAACGGAGCCCAACAGAGGCAAAAACATCCCATAATGATGCATAGAGTCTTTGCTGCTTTTGTTTCTGTCCGCATACGGTGGTTGCGTTGATGGTCAGCAGACTCTGACGACGCACCCACTCCTGGGCTGGAACCTGAGGTACCAGGAGTGCAAGCGCCAGCCCCACCTGCTCTCTGTAGCATGCTGATCTGCAGGGCGTGGGCTCGAGCTGTGATGTAGATCCTCTGGTAAGCCAGCACCATGAGGACCAGAGGGATGTAGAAGGCCACCGAAGAGCAGGTGAGGGCGTATGGTTTGTTAACCATGAAAACACAAGATGTGGAGTTGCTGCTTTCGTTGTGGCGCCTCTCCTTAATCTGTCAAGTGAATAAATGATATGTTAAAGATCATATTAAAAATAGAGTACCTAAACTGTCTGAGTTTGGGCACCATGCATGTTTTAAATGTTTTCCTGCAATTCCTCTTCAAGGACTTGAATACCTAAACTTGTAATCATTGTATATCAAGTCATTTTAAAAACAAAATGATGTAACTAGGTCTGGAAGTAGAACATTTTCTAAAATATTCAGGGAAATATGGGATACTTTGATAGAAAAAGCCCTGCTTTGCAGTCGGCTTTGATGAAAGGTAAATCAGACAAGACATGACACAACAAATCAACCAGTTTTCAACTTTTTCTGTATTTGTCCCCTTCACTTTATAGCATATATTCGCTGCAATAATTAAATACAACATAACAAGGTCAATAAAATCTCTGACAGGTGCTGAATTACTGTTGTCTCATGGTGCATCATTACAGAACCTAAAACCAGACTCAAAGCTGTTGACTTGTGTGTGAGGAAGGGATTCCTGAACGCCACAACAGTAACAGAGAACAGCACAAACAACCACTGATGTTACAGAGCCTGTCTCTTGTCCCCTTAGTTCTGGCTTGTTTTGCTGAGTTTCAGAGCTTTAGTTTGAGCCAAAAGTGACTGGCTTCACAGAATATTCAAACAGCTCTAATTAGACCCTCAGAGATCCCCTGCCACTGTATGGGGCAAACTTCGAATTTCAGCTGCACTAAACTTATATTTGTGTGTATTAGAAAAAAATAAGTATGTGAGTATGGGTTATTTCGCTAGAATTTGGTCAAATCTAGCTGGCTGCTTACAGAAGGCTCAGACATTATATCTGCTAAATAATACACAAGAGGCAGAGGGATTTGACTTTTGTCTGGGAACTAGTTTCCAATTTGTTTGTTTTTTTTTTTAACAGAAAATTAATTTTGAGTAAAGTAAAATGTCCACTTTTACTGATCATCAAATAAAGCATATTAGGACCATTTTATTGTACAACCAGTTTTATCTGATATTGATGAAATGTCTTCTTTCCCATAAATCCAAATAACAATAGAGCTGAAGTCTCTGATATTTTTGCTCACGAAAAACATGATTATCCAGCTTGGCCTGCTCTTGCCATGACTATTAATACTGACAGAAAACAACCAATTACATTGCAACAGAATGGTTTAAGCCAGAAGATGTAAAGAGAGCACAAAGTTCAGACCCCACAGCCCAACCAAAATAAACATAGCAGTGCAGAAGGAAAACACTTGTCAGAATGAAGGATTTCATAGGAACAGCAAGAAGGTCTTTGTGCATTTTTGGATAGCAAAGATGTTTGTTCCTTTTTACACCCTGCAGTGGTGGCTTTAGGTTAAATTTACCAGGGGATGGTGGGGGGTTGTGTTATTTTATTGAGGTACAAGGCAAAAAGAATGAACTTAAAGAAACAGGGCAATATTGAATCATTAATCAAATGATAACACTATGTAAGCCATGCAGATAAAGAGCCACTTCAGCCTCAAGGTGCAAATTGCAGATCCCTGATTTAGCTGAGGAAAGCTGTGATTCTATCTTGATTTAACTTAAGCCGAAAGTTCAATACCCCCATTTATAAATTAGTAATAAAGTAAAGCTACAAACATTAAAATGGTGTAAATGACCAATCAACTACAACATATGACATAATTAGTTGGTCCATATATAGATTTAATATTTTTCCTTCAGTACATGGGCCATAAAAGTGGCAAGGACAAGTTCTAGAGGAGCACTGGCCCCTTTTGGCTTTCAACTAGAACTGCCCATGACATCCTGATTAGCTAAAACCGAACGTTTGTTGTTGGGGAACTTGCTGTTGTTTGCCCAGTTTGCTGGACAGTTCTGCTGATTGTCTCTTAGTTTACCCGGTGGATTCTGTAGGAGCAGATAATGTGGAAAACTAAACCAAGAGTGCTATAAAGGATTAATCTGATTTGCAGGTTAAAGTGACATTAAAGTTGCGGTTTTACTAAAGGAGAGTTTCATACATGACCAAAACTGACAGAATTAAAAATTAAAAACAGAAATATACAGATGCTCAGTAAAAATTTACCACTGAAATAAAAAACAAGAAATAACTTTATGTAACTTTAGGTCTCAGTTAACATTCCATGTGTTTACTTTACTATGTTTTTTTTTTTTTTTTTTTCAAATTAAATGACCTCCATATATTTTTCTCCTTTTTACTTAAAAGGCACTGTCTCTACTTAATTTGACCCATATTATAAAAACTTAAGTTGAGCGTGTGATATGGTAAGGTTTTCCTATTATTGTTGTTATGTTCAAGAAATAATACATTGAAAAAAATCTAGTTTTTTACAGTGACAGTATTGAGTTCGAAATTTTAGTATTTTGTTAACCCTACTGTTATGTGATGCAGTTTGAAGTGTGAACATAAATCCTAAAGTTCAACGCTCTGCGATTTGCAATTGATTTCCAATGATCTTAATATTAAAAAGAGTCAGCACAGTCAGTACTCTGCAATCCACTGTTTTATTGCTTATATGTTCCTTTTCTGTATTTTTTTTATGTGACCACTCTAGCTATGTATGTGTCAGGACTTCCTCAAAAGAATGATTAATTTTTGACAATGTGGCATTGTAAGCTGATGTTTTCAAAGGATTATGCTTTTGAAAAAGTGTCCACATTGTGCTATTGACAGAGAAAATGGGTCCCCTTGCTGTAAATGAACTGTAGAAAAGCTTTAAAGTTTTTCATTTTCAACTGAAAACATTGTCTGGAAACTGGAAAAAAAAAACTAGGTATAGCATACAGTAGATTCTGCATATTATTTTAAATAAATAATATGCAGTCCTATTTTATATAAAATAGGACTGTTGCCATTGGTTTTAGTCAAGAAACAAAAACAGACAGTATGTTGTCAGTATCTTAGTTGTTGCCATGTTTATAATTTTAATGACAACATGTGAAGCATTTTTTCAATCTTGTAAACAAAGCTCCATGGGACAACAATTTATCTCATAGCTGCATGTGCACACTAGCCGTTTATGCAAATACTGTTTTGAAATACTTCTTGTATGTGTGTCTCTATTTATTGATTTTCTTTCCCCTCGCAATTTCTTTGTCTCCTGTTGTCATTTTCACTAAGCAGTGAAAATCACCCACTGAGATTCTGAACATATTCAACAATATTTCAATGTATAAAGATAACTTTAACTCATAAATGTGTTTTTTTTCTAGCTGCATCTGAAACTAATGCAACTCACCAGTTGGTCGATGCCGATGCTGTTCCAGCCCTGCATGATGGGAAGGAAAGAGATGAAAGTGGGGATGACCCAGCAGCCACCAATCATTAAAGCCACTCGCATGGGTGTCATTTTGTTCCGATAGACCAGGGGCTTGCAGCAAATAGCATAGTACCTGCAGAGACAAGATTTTAAGGAAGAAAAATGAAGTTATCAGAAGAAATCAAAAGATTTAGAAGTTGTTTTCAGTTCATCAAAAGCAGAAAGCAAACTAACAGGTGCAAACAGGTTTTTATCCCAGTTATAGGGGCACAACATTTCAATCAAAGGAATGTTGGTAATAAGAAACACCATTAGATTATGTTGTCTGATCTGCTGATTTTGATAAATTCCCCATTTTAATACACTCCATTCTCGGAAAATTTAGATTTCTCTTATTTCATGTATTAATTTATCCTTTTTACACACTATAAAAGTTTTCAGTCAGTCTGTTTCACCTGCAAGGCCACACAATTCTCTGCATGAGTGTGTTTGTACGTAGACCAGACATAGCTTCTTCCCAAAACAAGCTAGATTCTTTCTCAAGGTTTATTCATAACATGTTACTGATTAACCAAAGTGTCTGAAATTTGTTTTGACTCTGAATACTTTCCATTGTAAGTAAGGGGGAATGAACGCTGCTCAGGCAGAACAGGGCAGAATGCTGTGCCATAAGGGCAGCATGATGAACTGTTCTCTCTTTGCAGAGATATTAATAAAGTGCCGACTGAGTGAAATCCATCGATCTCCGTTTATTTAACTAGGGTGAATACTTTTTTCCCACTACAGCTTTCTTGGCAAAATAAAGCAATATGCAGCTTGATGTATTTGTATTACTACAGTGCATTTATCATTTACATGTTTGATCAATTTTGTCTGTAAACTATTTCATTCACTCAGTGGTCTTCACTGATGGATCCCAGCAAGATCAGACTATCAATAAGTAGAAATAAACAAAAAAATTTGAGAATTAAACAAAAGGAGAAATTTCATAGTGGGAGGATTCAGAATTTTTCTTACATGTTTGAATCTTTTTTTCTGTGAGCTTTCTGTGAGCTTTCAGTTTGACGTTGATCCATTTTTTTCTTTGTTTTCTAGCTATATTGGTGTTTTCGGGATATATTTGAGTTCTTAGGTTTTTCTTTGCTTGCCCTCTGGTGTTGGTCTCCTTTTCCCTAGCTCCTTCTAGAAGCCTCTGTTCACACCTGCTCCCAATCAGCTCATTAGTCCTGTCTTTGTTCAGTCTCCCATAAATACTGTCATTGCGCAGTTCCTCAGTGCTGGTTCCTCATCTTTCCCCGTCTTTCCCTGTCTCCTTGTGCATGTTTTCCCTGACAACTCCATGATTCTAATTTGTTTGCATTTTTGTGTTGGGACTGTGGATTCCTACCTCTGTTACCTGTTGTGAACACTCCATTAAAACTACAAGAACTCACCTCTGCCTCCTTGCCTCTGCATTTGGGTCCTCAAAACCTCAACCAAACCTTGACAACAGTTATCTCCTGCTGTATTCTTGGCATACATGTTGTTGGAAAACATAAAGCTTTTTATTTTTTATGCCCTAACAAAACAGTCAAACTAATTTATTGAAATTGAATCTCTGTCTTATACAGCACTTTTATTTAAATACATTAATGAAATTAGCTCAACATAATGATAATAATTTTTAGCAGGCAGAGACATTAAAGGAATAGTACACCCAAAACACGATTAGCCTTCATTTTCTACTCACCCCCATGCTGAACAAAACTCTGGAGTACTTTTTTGATATCTCAAATGCATCTGGAGATCTGGGAGGCTTCTTGCTGTCTGCTGACATTTAAATAATGGAGGTCTATGGTGACCGAGACAGAAAGGTCCATAAAAGTCCACAAAAATGTGTCAATATTCCTCCATACTGCTCGTCCAATGTAATCCAAGTGTCCTGAGTGGGTAGCATCCAGAATTTACTCGAAACGAAGTCATTTAGAACGTTTTAGAGCCTAAACAGTAGTGTATAGGATTTCCTAATAGTGCCCCCATGCGCGCTCACGATTCTACGGAAGCCGGCAGACAAACCGGAAGAAAGTGCGCATTCAGCGTCTGCTCTGCCAATAATGCAAGCGTAGAAGAAGAAATGTGCTGTTTACCTGTGCTAAGAAAGAAACAACAAAAGAAAAATGTCTGAGGACTTCAGTGTTGAGGAAGAGCATGAGTTCTTTGCCGAGCTGAATGCGCTGGTTTGGTCTGCCGGCTTCCGTAGAATCGTGAGCGCGCACGGGGGCGCTATTAGGAAATCCTACACACTACTGTTTAGGCTCTAAAACGTTCTAAATGACTTCGTTTCGAGTAAATTATGGATGCTACCCACTCAGGACACTTGGATTACATTGGACGAGCAGTATGGAGGAATATTGACAAGTTTTTGTGGACTTTTATGGACCTTTCTGTCTCGGGCACCATAGACCTCCATTATTTGAATGTCAGCAGACAGCAAGAAGCCTCCCAGATCTCCAGATGCATTTGAGATATCAAAAAAGTACTCCAGAGTTTTGTTCAGCATGGGGGTGAGTAGAAAATGAAGGCTAATCATGTTTTGGGTGTACTATTCCTTTAAACACAGTTTAAAAAGCATTAACTGATGTTCGGATGTTTAATATTAATGCTCTTTGACAGATAGGTAAACAAGCACAGTTTAGGACTACATAAAGTAATTTAACTATTTAAAATAAAAAATAAATAACAGGAGTGTCTGACTTAATTAATAATTTGTGTTGTGTGTCAATGTAAGTTGGATAAACTAATAACTGAAAAATACAGACCTTAAGTATATTATCACAGATCCTTCCCCCCAGCAGCTGGAAGACTTTATAACATCACTGTTCCAAACAACCTCAATAAGTTGTTACATTTATGCTCATTTCTATATATCAATAGTAGGCAATATTAAGCTCTATCCTTGAACTGTTGTTTCCCTAATAATAGATACCCTTGAGCTATAAATAATCCAACTTTATTGCTATGATTTTTTTGTTCTGTGTTTTATCAAACAAGTATCTCTAATTTTTAAATTCTAACATATAAAGATCACGTAATGTTATCTGCAGCTGTGAATGGTGACGTAAGAGCAATTAAATAACTAATTAATTACATTATTGTCTTTGGCCTATGGAAGGGAGCCACAGTACCCCAAGAAAACCCATACATTGGGAAAACATTCAAACTCTTTGAAGAAAGGTCTCGGAATAGATAGCTAAAAAAGGATATATGAAAGGAGCAGTACCAACGTGAGACTTTAAATTCAAAACAAATGTTTAAAAAACCCCAGAATGAATGCAGAATGCAGAAGAGGGTATGAGATGAGCTCATACTGCAAAGAATCTGTTTTATCTTTGCTTGTAGAGGTTTTTGTGTGTGCAAACAGACCACAGCTTAACTGTTCTCGGATCACAGGGAGCTAACAATGTCAGCCGTACAAATGACTCAGACTGACCCAACTTTCTGACCTGATGTTTCGATGTGTAAGCATATGTTTGCAAACAGGCTATTTGTGTGTGCCTTTGAAGATCACAGCTATGCCAAAAATAATGTCCCACTGCATCACATGTGTGGCACAGTACCGTAAGGGTGCACTGATTCATCCACATTGGTGCATGTATTGTGTATTCCTGCAGCATAATAAATAAAGATGGAGGGAGGTATGAAGTGCCTCATGAGTTAAAAAATGTGCAGGTGGAGCACAGCTGGGTAAGGGGCACATTAAGGAATCATGAATTAATTTGGTCTTTTCTATGCTGTGGTTTTATATAAGGCATCCACTACAAATATTATTTTAAGTTTGAAGAACACAACAATTTACAAAGATTTTAGGTCAAATGTAAAGCACATTGAAAGTCACATTTAAAGATTGAAATTTACTAGTCGCTGAAATCTACTGATAAATTTAACTGTTGTTCCACCTCTCACATATTTAAATAGAGTTGTTTGATTATTGTTTGATCAGCAGACAACACCTCTGTTAAAGAGGTCAGACCTAGAGAACAATGAAAGCATTATAATCAAGATGTTAAGTATGAGGGTTAACTAGCAGAACAAGTAGAAGTGTGCTGCAGTTCCGTGTTTCATTAGAAAACTGTAAGGCCTCTTTAAATAAATTAAGACAATGCAAATTCCAATCCATCCATCCATCCATTATTTGACAAGCTTGTCCCAATTGGGGTCGCAAGGGGTGCTGGTGCCTATCTCCAGCTGTCAATGGGCGAGAGGCGATTCCACCCTGGACAGGTCCAGTCCATCGAAGGGCAACACAGAGACAAACAGGACATACAACCATTCACACACACACTCACACCTAAGAACAATCTAGAGAAGCCAATTAACCTAACAGTCATGTTTTTGGACTGTGGGAGGAAGCAAATTCCAATATAAGTGGATATAGTAATTCATAATACATCTTTTGCAAGGCGTTTCAATTTCAAATATTTTAAGGTTAGGGTTGCATACAAATTAACAAGAAAGTATTATACACTAAAAATGAACAAATAAAAAAAAAGGCACACATTTGTATAGAAAGGAAATTATAGAAGAAATGGCACGCAAAACTGAACCGGACCGTGCCAGACACAACCAAACCGTGTTTAACTGGTACTAGTTCATTAGCAGGGCTCGGCTCATTTGAGTTCTGGCTCATTTATCAGATAACAAAGAGCGTATGAGCAGACATTCATAAGAATACTGACTTCCCTACGGTGCCACACAGTGATGATACTGCTTAGCAGTGTGATGAACCTCAACGTATGTCATTTCCTGCCTGCAAGCCCCTGATTAGACTAATGTTATTGTCATATCCACTTCCCAAAAGCTGACTCTGTCAAGTAAATTCACCAAAGGCTGCCTCCTTCGCCTGACTCTCTGCAGGTTAACTGATCCAAGCTCGGTCCAAAGTCAGCACAGGTCGGTTTTTAGAGCGTAGTGTAAATGGGGTCATTGTATGGCATCCGGGGACTAGTGTGGGGTTAAGGGTCCTGCTCTGGGACCCAGAATGCAGGCTGTGGGGAACGAACTGGGTATTTGCAGTCTTCTCAGAGCAAAAACGCACTGCTCTAACCACTAGGCCAACATTGCCCTATAAATGAACATTTTAAATTTAAATGAATT